TTAGTGTTCTTTTTTCTACTAATGTGCTTAATATTTTGGATAGTCCAACTAGTTCAGACCATGCTTTCATCAATATTGTATATATAGTCCCAATTTACCCTTAACTGGAACAGATACCATCTTTTAATTCTTCTGAGCACAAATATAAGCGTATTCTGGTTCTGATTTAAATGTGCCCATCAGCAGACCTAAAACATGCACAGAATTGGTTACTACACCCAGCATCAGACAAAAGAAAGCAGTTTACAATAACCACTGAGTTCCTCTTGCTTGCAGTTTGCTGTCACCACATGCTTTATTTATAGTATGCCTGAAATAAATACTGCAGGATCAGCCATCTTTTGGTGCTGCACAAAAAAGGAAAGCTATTAAATATTTACCATAAGTCTCTCCTAGCCTCGCCTCTGACACTTTCCCTTTCAGTAGAGAAAAGAATTATTTAGCTCATGATTTTCCAGCAAAAGACAGCCAATTGTGACTGTCTGGAAGCAAAGGGTAGCATCACTGGCATGCCTGGGGAGGGGGGAGTTTTGTCAATGTGCACCCAGCACAGAAGTCTCCACCTCTCCTGCTCCTGCAGCACAGAGTGACGCCAAAGCGGAGCCTTAGAGTGACACAGGAATGTTTGTGCCAGCAGAATGAGGCACACTCATGTTACAGCACTTTCCAAAACGAAGCCAGTACATTTGGTGAATCCTTTCCAAGGAGGCTGATCAGATTACTTGAGTTACGTTGTGGAAGCTCCAGTGAAACATGTTGACAAATAATGCTGCTCTCTTTTTGTACTTACTGTGCATTTAAGAAAAAAACTCGTTTGTATGAAATAAAAATAGACTTTGCATGCATTTTGTTTTTCACTGTGAACTGAATACTGCACAATCCAATGTTTATGGCCTAATATCTATGGGACAGACAGACAATTAAAGATGAACTTTGACTGGCCTAGAATTAAAATGCCTGAGGGCAGCTGTGTAGCTCAAGTAACTGATTAGAAACTGATACTGAAAAATTACTGAGAACTGAACTCCAGGAGGTCACAAAAAGACTAAAAGCAAAGCAATGTCTTTTTTCCACCCCAACCCAGGCCATTATAGAGTATTCCATTCCACAGCACAGTCCAGCAGAACAGCACCAATCCCCCCTCAGTACACCTACAGCAATGCAGGTTTCCAAGGAATAAGCTGCATCTATAGAGGTATGTAACACTTAAGAATATCAGTCTGGTTTGCCTGAGTGCCTCATGGGAGTTCTGCTGAGTAATAATGCACAGTGCCAAAGACACTTGTTTCCTCCTCTTACTCCTGCTCTTTTCTTCAGCAAAAGGAATTCACTTCCTAGATGTACTTTGTCTTCTAAACTTAATGAAGCAGTGCTAGTCTGGAGGGTTCCAGACATTGCCACATCACTGGATCACAGGCCCCTTTCTCCATGCACAGTCCAAATACTTCAACTTCCCAGCACTTGCCTGTCTGCATCTTTTCCCTTCCCAGATGCAGCAAAGGGAGGCACACTGCAGGCTCTAGAGAAATCAGCAGCCAGACAATGCAGCTCAAGCCACTAACAAGTTCTGGCTGTCTGATCAAACCTCTGGCATAGCTGGTGAGACTTCCAGTCTAATTTTGTGTGTTTATGTGAAAATAAAGCATGGTTGAAGTGATAAGAACAAATTAAAGAGGGAGGTAGGGAAAGCAGTTGTCAGAAAACGCTTGACATCCACAAATTCCTGAACCCATGGCTGAAATGCATAGAACTCCACTCAGGCCAGCACTGAACATTCATGGAAGGTCTGTGTTAGTGTGCCTTGAACAGTGCAGGTGCTACTTGAATTGAAACTAAATTCATACAGGAAATCACAAAATCCCATTGTTTAGGCAGGCAAGTATGAATGGGGGCTCTTAACACTTCCCTTTTTCTTATGATTGAAGCCTTGCAGTTGGATGTCCTGCACAAGTGCTGACACCATGTACAGCTTTTTTTGAGAGCCAAATTAAAACAATAACCACTTCCCCACCCTGTAAAAAGTCCGCAGGGAACGAAGTGCTGTAATAAAAGTGAGTAGCAGCAAACACTGTCTTAACTGTCAGGTTATAAACAATGCCCATGAAATCTTCACGGCCATGACCAATAAAGGGAAAGGCCATTGCTCTTGAGAGCCAAGAACCATTAGAAAAAAAAAAAAGCTTTTTATCTCAGAGCATTTTCGTCAAGATTTCACATTCCACTGCTTCTTCCATTGCCTTACAGATAAAACAAGCAAGATCAGTTCTACTTCCAGTGCTGTAACAGCGAAACCAAGCCACAGATTGCCTGGTAAGGTATTCCATGACCTTGAAATATATTCTGTAGAGCCATGTGACTACTTCACATACATGTCCAATATACCACAGTTTAGAGCTAAAGTTTTCCTATCACAACAGTCAATCTCCTAATACCTTTTCCATTGGAAAGGATTTCTAAACTTTTATACAAATAGGATAAGTGAGCACTTCCATCTTTGTGCTCATTATGGCAACTAGGGCTGTTTTTCCATACTAGTAGAACACTGCTCCAGTTTCATTGCTGCAAGCCATGTCTAAAAAAAGTCAAAGTGATCTCCTAGCACAGTCATTCTCCTGGTAACCACGTCCCAGGAGATTTTGCCACTCTTCTGTTGTCTTCTTATTTGGTTGAAAGTTACTGTCCCTTGCCACTGCTACCTTCTTTTCATGTTTTTTTTTTCACCAACCCAATATTTGTAATTTTTTTTTTTTTTGCTGAAAAAAGGATATTGCATTGTACATTTTGGGCAGGTGAATAAACTGACAATCTTTTTGTCCTTGAGTAAATTAACCAGGGAAAAAAAATATTTTTTAAGCCAAGATTAATATAACTTCCTGAATCAAGTGGAGATGCCTTTTGTTCAAGACATTGGATCTTTAATAGGGTTCTATGTGTACATCAGTTGGTCAATATCACTTGCTGCTAGGGTTCAGCTTCTATAAATTCTGAATTGTGCCAAGCAAAGTCTGTTTAATGCCTCTGAGCACAACTTATTTGAACAGCTTCGTGTCATCTAAGAAAAAAATTATTAAAAAGAAATTACTTTTCAGTATTTTTCATTGGGTTTTCCCAATGAGGCTGAATGGGTCACCAAGACAAACTAATAACTCACATCATAAAGTAGCTGAAGAGTCTGTTAATTGTGTAAGTTAAGAGCAAAAGCATAATCTGAGAAAATTTCATTAGATAAAAAAGGCTATTTTATCATCTATTTGTGCTTACTAGCATTTGATTTTACTTTATGCCATTTTCCTTCTTTTCAAAATGGATTGTAGTTTATCTACATCTATTATCTATGCAAGCATATTTCAGTCTGTGGAACACCCAATTACTGCTGTCTTTGGTTGTTCTTTATCCATACAACTTGAGTATTTGAATTATATATTATTGTTTTGAAACCAAGAGACAGGGAAAGCCTTAAAAAAATAGAAGAAACAACAAATAGAGATGAAAGCAATTAATAAAGGTTTAGAGGTCAGCAAATAAAAAAGCACAATGATTACTGAAATGAAATATCCCTGGCAACACTTGATCAAAATTACTGTTTTAAGTGACTTGCCTCTTGCAATACATATTAAGACAATCTGGATTTGTTAGTCATGAATTTGGAAATTCTTCTGTGAGTAAGAAGAGCTGTTGATTTGTAGTGTTAAACCATTTATGCAAGGGCCATAGAGGCAGACACTGGAGAAATTTTCAGGTTCAATATTCAGGAAAATTAATACCAGATGTGCAACAATCCAAAGCACAATAAGAAATGTTTTCTCAACGCAAAACCACAAAGCTTCAACAGAAAAGCAGACAGACATTCTAACAATCGGAAAGGATTTTTCTTAACTTTCAAATAAAAAATATTCAGAATAATCTAAATCTTCATAAAAAAAGGTATCATACATATATTTGTAATAACTAATAACTAATCTGTAATAACTATAACTCAGAGTGAAGAAAAAAGAAGTGGAGCAGGTGACAGGATGAGAATTCAACTACATGCATCAACGTAGTGATTTTCTACTCTATCTGGAACACTCGAAGACAAAGCCATAGGGGAAAATCAGGTACATATTTTGCTTAATAGTACCCTGTCCTGTCTTGAAAATTTTAATCTAAACTCCTTATTCTTTAGCTATTAGTCTGTTCCTGATACTGATTATCTCTTCTGCACATTAATATATGAGATTCTTTGGTATATTCTCAGAAATTGTACTTCCACACTACAGTCTGCTTTCTGTACTTGTCTTTGCCTACCCTGTACAAAAATTATCTTCTTCACAATGCAATAACATTAGCAGCTGCTTCTCTTTCTATAATTATGATGCTTTAAATATTAATGCATTTATTACAGAAATCCTCCATGCAAGGTTATCTAACTTGAGAACAAGTTTCCTTGGAAGCAACATTAACGGGCAGAAATTAAAAAACCTATTAACTGTTTTCTTAATGGCAAGGCAACTTTTATCATATCTCTATGATAAAACCTGCCCTCTCCATGTTCTACTGCCTCCCTTTCCTGCACTTGGGCTACACCTTTCTTATTGAGTCAGATATAGAGTAGACTTTCAAAATTACAGGTGCCAGACCTGTAACACTTGTTCTGTTTGTTGTCTCTGAGACAGCTGTTCATAAATTAGCCAAACTAAATTGTGTTGCCCACGTGAGGATAACCAAAAGAAGCATCACTGTTGGATTAATTTAACAGAACCTAGAATGGATATGAGATTACCCCTGTATTCAATAGACTAAATCCCACATGGATACACTCAACCTAACCATTTGATTTTTGTAGGAATCCATGCTGACTTCTACAAGAGTCAGAGCAGATTTTGGCTTTTCATCTCATATCTGTGCTATGAGCACTTCAAATAAATCTAACAGACAGGGATAAAATGCTTGCAACCTTCAGTCTTAAGTTTCATAGTCTGTCCTTAAGAACACAAAGAGTTTAAGTTATTCCAACGTACTTCTGCAGAGTGAGGCTTAGGTTGTGGCTGGCTGATTTGATCTTGTTCTGGGCCTCCAGGTGGGTCATACTGTCAGTGTTGACTCCATCAATAGCCACGACAAGGTCCCCCTGGTTCATCTGTGATTGTGCTGCCTTGCTGCCAGGGGTGATCTGTGTGGGAAAAGACAAAGGAAAATGTCTTATCTTGATAAGTCATTCTATATCCAAAACAGCTGAAGAACTTGCCCAGAATTATAGTATAGAATAGATACAGCAAAAAATACACAAATGGACACAGCAATAGTTTTATCCATTATTGTATGGGTGAAAAACCAAAATTAATGGCAATTAAACAAATCAAAGATAACTCACAAAGGTCCAGGACACAATCTACTTCTTGTTACTTCCATTTTGAGAGGTTAAGCCCAGTGTGGTGGTTCCCTTACCATCTATTATCACTATCTCAAGGGGATAATTTTCACTATACAGCAGCAGTATATAGAGATATTACTCAGAAGCAGAAAATGAATGAACCACTATCCACTGCATGATTTTATTGTATTTTCCCTCCTAAAAGCCATTTTTCCCAAATTAATTAATTTTATTGAAGGGATGGAAAATGAATATGTGTGAGTGGCCTTGGGCACACTTTGTTTCTTTCATAGCAAACTTTAGAGGAAATTATTCTACTTAACTGTACCCATATACAACTGCAGCTCCATTACTAACACCAATTGCTATGTGCCCACCTCACCAACCTGTTGGACCTCACACTCCAAGGGCCAGCACTCTCAGAAATAAGAAACCACAGTGCTGCAACCACAAGCCCAACAACTGATGCAATGGTCCAGAAGTTCTGTTTGTTCACTGTGGCAAGACATTTTGTTGGCTCCAGTCGGCTTGTGAACTGCATCTTCTCCAAATGGAAAGCACCCTGATCTCAATTTTACAGAGCCTCTCAGCTTCTGTATGGGTAACACCAGTACAGTTCTAAACCAGAAAAGCCTTCATCCACCATCAGCCAGACAAATTTTAATGAACACACCAGAGTTGTCCTCTGCTTTCAGCATCCAGTACAGAAAGAGCATGGATATAAGCTATAGGACTTTTTTCTTAGAAACTCATTTCCTTACATTCCTCATTAAAAAATCCAAGGATAATCTAAAGTACTACAACAAAGGCTTCATTCAAAAATTCTGTTCCTTCAGTACAGTGAACATAAAATAAAGATGTGTTTGATTATGAGCCAAAAGTCCACTGTGAATTCTGCCAGGCTGACACCATGAAGTCAAATTTCTAGTCACTTATAAAAACATACATACTTAAAAAAGACCTCCTTCCAAAACAATTCCCTAGACTGTTTTCTCATGTGCTTTACTGGCAAAGATGAATAAGCAAAAGACCGAAAAAGCCCTTTCTTAACACACTATAAAAGTTGCTGAGGATTGAGGCCAGAAGTCCAATTGACAGTGTAGTCTGACAATGGGAGGTGTCAGTTTATTAGAACACTAGCTCTAGTATCACAATGCTCCAGTACACAGCACCCTGGATACTCAGACTATTTAAAAGTAAAGATTACTTTGGAATTAGGCACTGCAAGCAGTTCCCGGAACTAATTTGACTGCAAGAGACAAGTTTTAATATCTTTTCGTTTGAGATGGAAGCAAAGAGTTCTGTTTTCTGAGTGAAAGAGCCACAGATACAATGTTCTCATGCAAAGCAGAGTTGACTGATAATGGATGGCAGTACTATTCCCCAGTGTATTTTCCTGGTGTTAAGGAATTGATGGATGGGGGAAATATTTTGTGGTAGTTTCAAAGATAGAGATCTATTCTGCAGTCTAATGCCCCCTCACAAGAAAAAAAAAAACAAAAACAACAAAAAAACCCAAAAGATTTGTGTTACAAGCACAGCTTTTCCAACCTGTTATACAAACATGAGCTTCTATGCATTTGATTGACTTGCATTGTGCCAAGTACACAGAATCCAGAAGCCCATAAAGAATATGGATTATTTGTACACCCACATGTACTTGTATAGTTACTCAAAAATCCTTCCCTGCTCAGTCCCACAAATATGTTGAGAAATAGAATCTGCAATAGAATAAAAGGTAAAAAAGGGGCAAAAAGCAAACTAAAGCCAAACTCAGACAAATGAGTCAGTAAGACTTGAATTCATCAAGTAGGACACTTCTGTCTTTTTCAAATTATCCTTTTTAAAATAAATAATCTTCACAGATCACTCTTCTACGACATCACTTTTAACCTCCTCATGAAACATAGAAGTTCATGCCACAGAATATTAACTGTATGATGCTGGTTTCAAATTATGGGACACTCCCCACCCACACACGCTTTTCTTGTCAAAAACAAAGACTTGTTTCTGAGCACCAACCCAGTTCCTGAAAGTCAAACATCTGCCATCATTTGGGTATTCTTACTCAACACATCTATCTCTCCTTCCACTCTTAAGTGATGCCTCAAACAAAATAAGCCCAGAGAAGCAGAGCTTCCAGAGACAGGATACCACACTCTAGATCTGGGGCTAGTTTAACACAGCTCTAACACACCTCCTTCCCTCTCACTTGCTCTGACTTTTGCTTTTAGCAGCCCTACAGGCAAATGCTATACCTTAAAATAATGACACAGCAACTACAACCCTCCTAGAATTAAGAGTTTTAGAGGGAGGGGATGGTTGTAATGAGCGACCTAATTTCACTTCTTCTCATGGGATATTTTCTGCCTAATATTTTAGAAAATATGACCTAAATGAAAAAATATTAATCACAAGAATCTCTCAAAGAGAAAGTCCTCAGTAACTCTGAATTTGTGATGACTTTCTAACTTTGCAACACTGTTTCTGAGGCAAGTAGCTCTAGGAGCACCATACTGTGAAAGAAAAGGAAACAGTCTCAATCATGGCTCAGTCAGGCCCCCAGGAAATGAAAGGGCTTCAACTTCTTCAACTAAGTATAAGGGTAGCAAATTCTGGGTGGGATTCTTTCACACAATTCTTTTTTTTTTAATTCCAGTTTCAGGGTACAGCACACCATTGATGTCACTGTACCTCTAAAATTCAGCTTATCCTTACTTCACAGACAGCAAGACTCGCAAGTATAAAAGATAGAGCTAATTTATTGTATCTGCAATTCAGACAAGTAGTAGGTACCACGAAAGAATGACTTCTTCTCATGGTTTTCCCACTGGTTAAAAGCACACTAGATTATTTGGGCCTGTAGAATTTTATATAGAAGGCATTATTAAAGACTGGATGCATAATCTGTATGAAACATGAAAATCAAAGTACAAAATTACATGTATTTTAGTTAGAACCTGAGAGACATCTCTGTGAGTGTTCCAAGTGAAGTCACAGTATGCATTCCCAGCAGACATCGAGAGCAGTCAGTAATTGTTGTGAACAAAATCCCAGTGTGCAGATGGAGATACAGGGCAGACAGATCTGAAGTGTCAAGGCACATTCAAGACTATCTTGTTCCCATTTCTAAAGATCCAGCTGAAAGGAATGGAATGCAAAGAGTTTATCTTTTATCTGTTGGTATTTTCCTTTGAAATTTCATCTCTGATCTACTAAAACATTTACTAAATATAAATCACAAACAGAGAAGAGATCACTGTGTCTTTCTAATCTTGAGTAAATACTTTCTCTTTAAAAATATTTTTTGAAAATATTTTTGAAGGACAAATGCTAATTTAACCTTAGAATTAGAATGGAAACCCAGATCTCTCTACACAGCAAATTCTACTTGGCTCTTTATCAGCTCCTCTTCTATTAACAAAAGTAACAAATTTAGAGAAATACACTACTGTCAAGGATAAATATGCATTTTTCAATTTGACCACCAAACTTTTTTCCCTAAAGCAAATCTCTGGGAAACTTCTAGACAGAATTATTTCAGAAAACCTTTGTAATAATCTTAACTCACTTGCACGGATTACAACATAGCTTGCAGTTGCTAGGTGCTGCAAATGCTTTTATTTAATGCTACAGTGAGACATTCATCAGAGTTTCAGGGTACAGCTATTTCTGTCAATTGATTTACAAAACCCAATCCAGGGTAACACCAACAGATCTAATTTTAATAGTAGTTCTTTACTGCCTCAAGCCCAAGCACAGATTTTTTCTTGAAAAACCAAGCATTTCACTGCTCTCAAAAAGCAGAGGAATATGTGCTGCTTCAGAGACGTGAATGTTCAGCCCTTACAAATTTCCTACAAGACAGAGATCTGACTTCCAACATCCCCAGCTTAAAGCAAGTTGGCAGGCTGGAAGTATCACATGTTCCTTCCAACACACTACAGAGAATTCTTACTACGTTCTGTTGTGAGCGGATGGGTACACTGCGTGAATATATAGTACCACAGTGACAGCTGTGCCCTAAAAAAACTCGCCTGCACTGCGTTCACAGTAAATACTACTTAGCAGGAGCTCTGGGAGGCAGCATACAAAGAGCAGCTGCTGCACCACCTTGAGAACTGCACATGCTGCCAGCCAAGCCCCCTCAACTCCACTCCAAAGGGAAGAGACAGGGATCAGGCAGCATTTGAGTGGATGAGTGTTCAAATACTAACGAGCATGCTTGTACAAACAGATGGATGGACACAGTTTTCCTACCCCCAAGGAACTCCTAATTTACAAGGCAGACAAAAATACATAGGAAGGCCTACACAAATGAGAAGCTGCTAATATAGCCTGCAGCATTAGCCAGGGCCTCTTTTTCCAGCACTTGAGCTATGCCTGACTCCATCCTGACCTCAACCCCAAAATCAACAGTTTATATTTTCGGCTTCTCATTTAAGTACAACATTTCAGAATATCAGATATTCAATAGCATTAGAAATGTGCAAAAGCACAGAGAATTAATACCCTCTCCTCTTGAAGATCTCTGGAATAGAAGAAATAATTAAAAGGAAATGTTCTTTCCCATAATCAGAAAATCAGAGACTATAATGTGTTCTTTCAAGAAAAGGGTTGGACAGAGACTAAGGGACAATATGTTTCCTCTATAGACAAAAGAGCATTTAAATCTCTCCCCATTGTATTTATGCAAGTATTTTTTTGCATAGAAGATTCCAACAAACTCTCAAAATAATTCTAAGCTCTGAGGCTCTAAGTGCCTGCAAAACTTCCTCTCTTTATACAGAGGAGCATGA